TTAGTATTGTCCGTCTTCCAAATGATACGGCAAGGAAAAAGTTCCTGAAGTTGGATTCTAGAAATGAAAGAAAAAAAAAAAATTACCTTTTCATTATAACCATCTAAAATTTTGTGTACGACATTTTGTAAAACCATAAATATTCTTCATTAAAAAAAAAGTACAAAAGAGAACATAAAAATTAGGTAAAAAAAAAAAAAAAAAAAAATATATATACAATACAATTGAAAACTAGTCTTATTCATTTTTATGTTTTATAAAATAAAAGGAACTTAAATTTATTTATATATATATAGTATTAAATGGCCTTTTTGAAATAATTTTATCTCTAATTATTATTAGTCTTATATAATGTATAAAAAAAAAAAAAAAAAAAAAAAAAAAAAAAGAGTGTATTCAATGTTTCAAAAAAAAAATTATTATTTATTTTACTATTTATTTTATTTATTAATTAATTTATTTATGCATTTGTAATTAAAACTTTGTGGGGGGGGGATTTTTCTTTTTATCAACAAACAAATTTTTGAATGCACAATAGTTATAATTTTTAAATTAAAAAAGTTTTAAAATATTCAACAAGTTTCACTTGCCATTTATCATAAAATGATTAAATATTTGAGAAAATATATTTAATTTAATTTTTAATTAAATTTTTGTGCCAAAATATAGTTTTAAAGTTTAAAATAACCCTTTTTGTTTAAAAAAAGAAAAATGTATGTTACCTTTAACAAAAATGTCATCAATGAAATTCATAAACAATAGTAAAATTTTAAAAATAGATATTAATTTATTAACTTACAAAATTTATTTCTTATTTATTTATTTAATTTTTTTCTTTTTAACATTCGGTCCGTCCGGTAGTAATTTTTATTTTTTTTTCTTAATTTTATTAATTTTAGATACCGTTCCATGTAAATAAAATAATTAGTGCTAGATTTAAAGGCACAGGGTTAAAAAAATTATAGAAAAAAAAAAGAAACAAATTAATGAAATATATAATTTTTTTTAAAACCAAAGCAAGGCGCATTTAATAAGTATTAATATAATTATAATAGTATTTCATTTTGTGAAATTTATTTATTTATTTATTTATTATTAAATGTAAAAGTAAGTTTATTATTATTATTTATTTATTTATACAATATCAAAAAAAAAAACCTAATTGAAAAAATTTGTGTATGTGAATAAATTTGAGAGTTTTTACTGGTAATTTTTATTTAATTTATTTTTTATATAATTTTGATTCCATAAATTTGAATGTATTTAGTTTTTTTGTTTGTAGTATTAGTTTTAATATTAGTTTAAATAAGTATTTTAATAACTAATTATTATTAATAATAAAAGTTTGAATAATTGAGTCATAATTTGTCAGAATGAATTTAAAAAAAAAAAGTAATTTTCCTGTTGATAAGTGTGTATAATCATCAATCCTTAATATATTTTATTTTTTGTAATTTTTTAAATTATATATATTTATATAGATTTATTATTATTTATTGTATAATGGTTGTGAATTTTATTGTGAATTACATTTTAATTGTCGGTAATGTCGTCATTTACTGTTAGTAATTATAAAAATAAAATCAAATAAAGATGCTGTGTTAATAATAATAATAATTAATATTATTAAATTTTTATAATTTACAAATTCCACCCCCATAGTTTTAAAAACTTTATAATTTTTTATTAATTCCTCATTGTGTTTATTTTTTTCCGTTAAAATTCATTCAAAATAATAAAATTAAAAATTTTTTTTTTTTAAATGTTGGCACTACCGTTTATGAGTTTTTTAAAATTTTAAATTACTTTTTTTTTTTTTTTTTTTAATTACAATCTATAATTATTTATTTAAATATAACTTTAACTTTAACTTGAAAAAAAAAAACTTAAATAATTTATATAGTTTGATCGATATTCGAATGGTAACCGTTAATTTTTTCAAAATGTCTGTTATTTTGATTTTAATTGGGAGAAAAATAATAATAACCTTTTGAAAAATGTCTAGATAGTTTTTGGTTTGTTATTATAAATAATATTAATTTTTCTTTGATTTGAAAACTTTAGTAAAATACAATCAAAAATAAATTTTTAATTATAATTAAAATAGCAGGTAAGATTTTTTTTTAAAAAATTTTTATACATTTTTGATTTGCTTATAATAATAATAATAATAATAAAATTGTGTTGTAAACGTTTTTTTTTTCTTTTCAAAACAAATATATTTTTATATTATTTATACTTATGCACATATAATACACAACGAAAGAAAAAGTAATATTACCAATTTTTTATTACAGTTAATTGTCCGTTGACAAAATATTTAAATTTGGTATAAGAAGTTAAAGAAAAAAATGGCGGATTTGGAAAGATCATCTGTTGAACGTCCGGTTTACGGACCACGAATGGTTATAATAAGTGAAATGGAAGAAAGTTCAGAAGAATCAAGAATGTTTACGTCCGAAGAAGATGAAGCTTGTTTTGCTGAAGAACACATGAGAATAACAGATGTACCTTCTGAATATTGGCACATACAAAAACTTATCAAATATATGAAAGTAAAACTAAAATTTTTTTTTTCTTTTTTTTTCCTAATAACTTTGATAATCACATTTTATATTATTATTATTATTATTGTTGTTTTTAGGCGGGCAATCAAACTGCAACAATTGTTAGTCTTGCTTGTTTAAAAGATCATGATTTAACAACAGAAGTTAATCAGCTTGCAATTAAAGATATTGGAGGATTAGAAGTGTTAACAAATTTATTAGAAACGGATGATTTAAAATGCAAAGTTAGTTTTACTTTTAACTAATTTAAAAAATTGTAAAACATTTTCAACATTTAAAACATTTTAATTTTAGTTGGGGGCATTATACATTCTTAAAGAACTTACAACAACTTATGATGTAAGAAAAACTTTTACTGATCTTGGAGGAGTTCCTTTACTGTTGGATATTTTATCAGATCAGGCTAGAGATTTACAAACATTAGCTTCAGAAACTTTAGCTAATGTTGCTAGAATCAGAAAAGCTCGAATGATAGTTAGAAAATCAGGAGGTTTACCAAAAATTGTAATTTTCTATTTTATTATTAAAACTAAAGATAATAAACAATTTTGTTAGTGTAATGTAATGTCATAATTTCAGGTAGATTTATTAGATGTTAGTCAAACAGCATTAACGACACCCTGGAATCAATTAAGTATAGATGACAAAGAATTGGTTCAAGTTGCTAAAGGAGCAGCCAAAGCATTATGGTCACTTTCTAAATCTAAAAGAAATCGAGAGGCAATGAGAAAAGCTGGCATCGTACGATTACTTGCAAGAGTCCTTAAATCCTGTCATTCGGAAGTGATAGTACCAATTATGGGAACGATTCAACAATGCGCTAATGAAGTCAATAGTATAACGTATTCTACAACTTTGGTAATAAAGTATTTGAAAAAAAAAAATTAATAAGAAATGTTCCTTTTGTAGGCGAGCTACCAACTAGCAATACAAACTGAAGGAATGATTGGACAATTGGTGAGACATTTGTCAGCAGAATCCGTTGAATTAAAAACTCATTGTGCATCTGCTATTTATAAAGTAATTAAACTTTGAATCTAATCTTTCTGCAAAATTGAAAATATTTAAAATATTTTATAAAAATAAAATAAAAAATTAGTGTGCAGAAGATGAAACAACAAGACAATTAGTACGTCAACACGGAGGTTTAGATCCATTAATTTCTTTAGCGAGAGATTTTGAATTACGATCGAACAAAAATCTTTTGGCGGCCGTTACTGGTGCCATATGGAAATGCGCAATTTCCCGGGAAAATATAAAACGTCTCGATGAACTTTTTACCGTTAGAATATTAGTACAACTTTTGGAAAACGAAAACGAAGAAGTTTGTACATTTAAAAAATTAAAACTGTTGAGGAAAAAATAAAAAATTATAAATTAACATAATTCTTTTACCCAAGGTTTTAATTAACGTCGTCGGAGGTTTGGCTGAGTGTTGTAAAACACAAGAAAATAGAGAAGCTTTGAGGAAAGCAGGAGGAATTCCATCCTTAATTCAATTGTTGAGTTGGACCAACCAACCTTTGTTGGAAAATGTAGCTAAAGTATTAGGAGAATGCGCTAATGATACAGAATCCATGGAACTGATTGAAGAACTTGATGGAGTTCGCTTAGTTTGGTCTCTTCTTAAAAATCCCTCACCAAAAGTTCAGGCAAACGCTGCTTGGGCTTTACGACCGATGATTGAAAATGCTAAAGTTTGTTACTTTAAAATAAATTATAATTTTGTTTATAAAAGTTTAATTACCTTCTTTTTTTCTTTTTAGGATTCAGGAGAAATGGTTAGAAGTTTTGTAGGCGCGTTGGAATTGATTGTAAGTCTCCTAAAATCAAAAGATAATAATGTATTAGCTTGTGTATGTGCTGCCATTGCAAAAGTTGCTGAAGACAAAGAAAATTTGGCAGTAATAACTGACCACGGAGTAGTTCCCATGCTTTGTAATTTGGTTCCCACGGTAAAAACAATGTTGCCTGTAGCACACTTATGGAAAAGTCCGTTAAACTAAAATTTAAAATAAATCTTGATATAAATTTCAGACTGATGATCACTTAAGAGAACATTTAGCATCAGCTATAGCCAGTTGCTGCGGTTCGGGTAGTAATGCTTTTGAATTTGGAAAATTAGGTACGCTTCCAACTCTTGTACTTTACATGGCCGGATCTAATAAAGCTGTTCATCGATCTACAGCAAGAGCTCTTCATATGCTTTCAACCGATCCTTACAACTGTATAACACTACATCAAACTGGTGTCGTTGGAGTAAGTAATTAGTAGTTACATTTAAAAAAATTTTTTTCCGTGTAATTTACATGCCTTAAATTACAACTTTTTTTAATACAAAAATATCATCGATTAAAAATTTTTTATTACAAAATAAATACTGAAATTGGTACAATAAAAAATAAAGTAAATAAAATGGCAAATTCATGTAACAAAATTAATCTAAAATATATATATATATATAAAATTTATTGCTAAAAAAATATTACCTATGTACTTAATTAGTTAATTAAATTTCTTTTCTTTTTTTAACTTTTATTATATCTCTATAAAATTTTTAACGCTTTAATTATTTTTAATTTATTATTATTATAAAAGTAAAAAAAAAAAAAAAAATTCAAGTTTTCCTTTTTTTTTTTTTTTTTTTTTTTTTTTAGTATTTATTAGAAACAATCGGATCACGAGATGAAGAACTTCAAGCATCATCAGCCGGTTGTTTGAGCAACATTCGACGACTGGCACTTTCTGCTGAAAAATTTAAATTAACTTATGATAAATGTGTAGAATAAATAATAATAATAATAATAATGATATAACTTGATGTTATTTTTTATTCTAACCTAAACAAAAAGTTTACCTATTATATTCCTTAAAAAAAAAATTTAATGGCTCGCTTTTCGAACTGGATGCCTTAAAACTAATGCACTTTCAGCTGAAATAATAGGCAATTGATTTTCCACATGATAATTAATAAGATGATTGACGCTTTCGAACATTTTGTCTTTTGTACGCACCTAAAAAAATTTTTTTTTGGAATAATGAAATGAAAATATATCACTGGGCAAATAAAATCATTTTTTACAACACAATTTATAAATACTAAAAAAAAAAAAAAAAAATTTAATAGTAATACTAACTACTCCTTCAGGATCTATCAACAACAAATGTTTTTTCAATCCTCCTTGCATGCCTGTTAAAACATACTGTCCGGGAGAGCCTTGTGATTCTCTAACTAAAAATTCTCCATCCTTTAAATTTACATAATAAGAAATCATTAAAATTCAGATCATGAGATAAAATAAAATGTTTCAAAAATTACCATTCACCATTCACCTTTTTAAGCAATGATTCCGCTTCTTGCCTATTTATAAAACCGTGAAACCATATTTCCTGTTCCAATTGGTTTCTTTGAATAACTTGTGATTGCTTATTGCTTAATGTTGAGCCCAGATGTCCTAAAAAAATTTTTCAAATTATTAATACAAATATTTAAAAAAAAAAAAAAAAGAAGAATTTTAATTAATATTTAAAATAGTTTAATTTAAACTTACTTAAATCAAATACATCATTACTTTGTGTCGTCTGATTACTGTGAGATGATACAGGAATAACATTGACATATTCTAGTTCTGTCGCAATTGGAGCATCAGAATGTAAATCTATTAAATTTGTTCCATTGTCTGAAAAAAAAAAAAAGATTTAAAATTGTGTTTTTTATTTGTTGATATATCAAAAAAACAAGAAAACAAAAAATTTACCTTTTAAATTTTGATGAGAAAAACCTGAAGACTCAGAAGCTGGCACATTAATTACTGTATGATGATGATGGGGTGCTGGAAGTGGAGGAACTGGAGGTGGACCTACGTCTGGAGGAATTTTTCCAGGCAGATCATTATAATATTCTCCATCATCTGCTCTTGTAGTTACTTCATTTCTTTAAAAAAAAAAATTTATTTCGTTTAAAGTAATAAAAACACTGGTAATAAAAATATGAAGTATCGAAATTTTTTTATAAACTCATCCTGCTTGTAAGTTAGAAGTAGGCAATAGTAAATATAGTAAAAATATTTCTTTTAATAATTAATTCAAAATAAATTTTAAAAAAAAACTTACTGTGGCCCAGTAGTTGACAAAAACTGTTTTAATCTAAGATCAAATGCTTGTGCTATGGTTGCAATTACATCTTGAGCTAACCCACCTCCACATTCTAAAACATAACATGCTCTCCAATCTTCTAAGTCTTTGGCTACATAGCCAACAAAGTCTAATGTATCCTTTAAAAAAAAACAAAATTATTTATTAATTATCAAATCAAGTTCTAAATTATTATTAATAATTAGTGTATACTTACTGTGTCACCACCAGAAGCAAATGAAATTCTAGGCATTTCATGCCCTGCAATAACCTTACCAGAATCATGAGCTGTCAGAATAAGAGATGAACTACAAACTGTTAAATTTACATTCGCTCCAGCATGGTCCATAATTGGTTTATCTCCGATACATCTTTGAACTGCTTTTTCTATTTTTCTCTTTTTATCAACTGTTTTCAATCCAGCTACTTCACATACTTTATTGATGCATTCTCTAAAAAAATTAAAAATAGCATAAAATATAAAAATTTACTTAAACTATTAAAAAAATTCCGATTAAAGTTTAGATAATGAAAAAAAATTTAAATGAAAAAGAATAGGATGTTTGTATGATGTTAGGAAACATTATTTATAATGCTATTCCTATTCCAATACAAGAAAATACATTTTTTTAATAACTCAAAACATTTATTAAAATTTAAAATATAAATTAAAAAACTTACTTAGCTACTTGAGATCTAGTAGCGAAATCCAAACTTTTCATGGAAGTATTTACTTCTAAACAGCCAATGTACTGAAAAAAAATTAAGTTTCTTTGTTAATGTAAAAATAAAATTTTAAAATTAATTTTTGTTATATTTACTACAAAAGACAGTAAAAAAAAAAAAAAAAATTTAATAATAGTATTATTTTAAATTACAAAGTTAGGTAAGGTAAAACAAATGTAAATTACTTATTGTTAAACTTACTCGTACAGCGTATGTTATGCCTTTTTTCAATATTACTTGATCTGAATGCAACCATCCTTGGGGAGGTTTATTGATGAATATATTTTTTTCCGAGCCAAAAAGATCAGGTAACGGGCGTGACATTTTATATTTTGTCAAATTTACAATTAATTGTAAGGGATTTAAATTAGTGACTCATTGTTTAATAATGCTAAAATAGTTTAGTTTATTAATAATAAAAATAAAAAAAAAAAACTTAACAACATGTATATATAATTAATTTTTTAAAACTTTATAAAAAAAATATGTTTCATACTGTACATAATAAAAACTAAACAAAACTATTAAACACTTTAATCACAAATTTCTTACCAAATCCCAATGAATTGAATGAAGTGGCGACATAGTTCTCTTTTTAGTTTTTTTTTTTTTTTTTTTAGGTTAAGAAATACTGTCTGAGTGCTTACACTGTGCTATTACGTCCAAATTATTAATAAAATAATTTTAAATATGTAATATAAGTTATTTAAGGTTTTATTAATCGAGACTGTTTTGAAAATAAGAGAAAAAAATGGTGCCGACTAAGTTAGAAGTATTAAAACTTTATAAAGAATTGCTTCGCTATTGTGAAAATATTACTTTAACCGATAAAAATTATTTGAAAAAAAAAATTCAGTTAGAATTTAACTTCAATAAAAACAACTTGGAGAAAAGTGAATTTTTTTATAAGGTGTCAATATAAATTTTCTATTATTTTTAAAAAATTGTAATATATAATAAATTAATGTAAAGTTTGAATTAAAAAAATTTTTTTTTATTTTTAGAAAGGAAAAGCCTTGTTAGAAAAAGGAAGAATTAAATAGTTATCTCATTTGCCTGTCTTAAAAATTATAATGCTTCGAATATATAGTAATTTTTATTAAATGATAATAATATTTCTGAATTTAAAACAAAAATTTAAAAAAAAAATTTATTTTTAATAAGATTAATATCAATTTTTTTTAAGGTTTTGTTAAAAATTCTGAAAAACTTACAAATATAGCACACAGATTTAATTTTTATAGAGGAAAAAAATTAATAGATAAATCTTTAATACCTGAAATCAAGGCCAATGAATTAGAAGAACAGTTCATTAGGGGAAGTGGACCTGGAGGTTCAAGAGTAAATAAAATTAATAATTGTGTTAGTTTAATACACAAGCCAACTGGTTAGTATTAAATTTTTCAAAAAATTTTTAATAGCAATATATATAATTAACTATGTAAGAAAGCTACAGTACTTTATCGCCTTTTCTATACTTTACCTTATTGTTATTTTTTGACTTTTTTGCTATCAAAATTTCTTATAACAAATAAAAACAAGATTTGATATTGCAAATCAAACTTAAATAAAATAATAATTTTATTAATTTTAGGTCTTAGAGTCAAGGTTCATGCACACAGAGAGCAAGAATCGAATAGAAAATTAGCCAGAGAAAAATTAATAGGTATACTTGATAATAGATTAAATGGTCCTAACAGTGTTGA